AACCTCTACACTCTAAACCCTACCCAGGACGTGGAATTCATGGTTTAGTACTACTACTAGTAGTAGTGTAGTAGTAGTAGTAGTAGTAGTAGTAGTAGCAGCAGCAGCAGCAGTAGTAGTAGTACTACTACTACTGCTGCTACTGCTACTACTGCTACTACTGCTACTACTGCTACTGCTGCTACTACTGCTGCTTCTGCTCCGACTCGTACGGCTGCTGCTGCTGCTGCTGCACGGTGCCAATAGCTCGGACGTAGAGGGTCTGCACAAGGAGGCGCAGGATGATGAGGATGAGGATGGCCATGCGCATGTGAGATTCGCAGATGAGGCGTCAGAGCCAGGGCCCGCACAAGCCTGGCAAGGTTTCCGTCACATGGCTTTTGTCTCGAAGCAAGGTCGGATGACGACGGCGATGACAGTGCCAGCACTGCTCCCACGATGCGTGCGACAGTCTCGTTTGCCGTAACAAACCAAGAAACCAGAGTACAATGTGGCGAAGCGCGATGCCAGGCAAAGCCCGAGTGCGGGTGGGGCACTCGGAAAGTTCTGCCATCAGCAGGAACTTTCAGAGATGCTTGTGCGACAGTTAGGGTAAGTGGGCCTCTCCTAGTTGGATTGTCTAGAAAGTTCTGTCGGCCAGGTACCCACTGCCTTCGAGAAAGCGCATGATGATCTGCCATGTTTGCCTTCTGCTTGTGTTTGTATGCACTGCTTAGGCATGCAGATTCCATCCGTTTCAGCCATTTCAAGAAGGCCACTCGAATGACATCCTGGACTCACCCCATCCCCGACCTCACCCTCGGTCCTGGCGCTACGTAGATGCCAAGTCATGCCAGAGGTGCAGACACCGCTAGATTGCCTTAATCGCATACTCCTGAAATGCATGATGTGGTGTCCTAAAGGAGGCACAGAAAGCTGCAGCATCTGCAACAAACCATTGCGCATGACAAGTGTCGCGTGCTTCCAAACACCTCACCGGTGTGCTGGACATGTGAAGCCTGGATGGCCACGCGCGCTGCAGGGCACGCCAGGACATGGCCTCCTCCTCAGAATAGTTCAGACCCTGGCACCGTCTGACACCGCTGCTGAGCAGAACCGGTCAAGCTGCGCAGGCAGGCAACAGTGCGACGTCGAAGTCGGAGCCTCAGAGTCTGGAAAGCTGAACGACAGTGAAAGTGCCCTCTTCTGGTCCGCAGTCAGCCTCAAGGCTAGGAATTTTAGGCCTCTCTCGCATCCAAGAGCCTTGGGCGCGAGTTTCCATACGTGCCTGGAGCCCAACTCGTCAGACTTTTCAGCACTGAGCAGAGACTTCCACTGACTTCACAAAGAGGCCGGACCTCATGACGAATGTGGCTGTGGCGATGCTCTACATAATTGTGGTGGCGAATCTGCAGACCAGCCGTTGCGCCGCGTGGCCTAACTACATCGTGGTCCCAAATCGATTGTCATGCGAGACATCCTGATGGATCCTCGAGTTTCTCATAGGCTGCTAGAGTAAGAAGTCTAAGAGTGAAGCCTCGAGGCCACGATCGCGGTGACCCCACAGGCCCGGCTATGCCCGGTTTGCCCTCGCCCTAGGCAGCCCCCATGCTGGCTTCGCGTGTGCAGGGCCAGCTGCTTCGCTCAGATGCTCCGCTCGCTGAACTCATGGACCAGGACACGGCGAGTTCCACCAGGACAGCTGCGATCGTGAGCGTGGATTAGAGTGGGCTGAGTGGGCGCAGCATGTGCAGCACATCGTATCTTGCATTTAGGAGGTCCGTCTTGGACAGCACGGAAGCCACGGCAAGGGCGCACAGCTACGAGTCGGCTCTGCAAAGGGAGAGTCGACCGAAGGCACTCGCAGTTGCCACGGTCGTTCTGCTCCTTCCCATCACCTTGGCCATCCTGCAGCTTCTGCTCGCATTCAGAGTTGCGAGCTCCTTGGATGGAAGCAGTAACGATAGTAACTTGACGTAACGTGTTATTCAAAGTGCAGTGAAGTGTCACTGAGACACAGGGGTTTGTCTGAGGCAAGCTGGTCGGTATGTGGCCGGTCGCTCCTGTGAAGGAGGAGTCTGCCGCACTGCCACGGGTCACTTTGGGAGGGACCACCCTGCAGCTCAAAGCGAAGCAAGAGCCGGTCCTGGAGATGATGTCCTTGTCGGTGATGTTGCTGGCCTTGGGTTGTGGTATATACTTCTGCATTGCCTGGACGGCTCTGGTGCCTGGGCCTTTTTTGCAGCAGCTCAGCTGTAACACGACCGCCTCTGCGGACGTGTCCCCGATGGTTGCCGAGACGCTTCGGAGCTTCTGCTGGGCTGGGGCTCGCTGGGAGGGGGTCACACGCAGGGAGGCAGAGCTTTTGCTGAGCGGTCTCGAGCGCAGCTTGGCGATGGAGCCTGGCGAAGGTGCGGTGCTGGAGTTCGGTGTTGGCGTGGGCGAAACCACCTTGTGGATTAGTCGTTTTCTGGACATTTATGCCCAGGTCAGTGGGGAGCCCAGAAGGGCGCATCATGTCTACGACCCGTTCAAAGGTCCCGGCTTCCCGAAGCGTGATCGTATGAGAGACAAGCTGCTGAGCAATGTGTGGCGGAGCTGGCCTGGGAGGGTTGCACAAGGGATTGTCAAGACACGGCGGTGGCTCTTTGATTTCTTCTTGTGGAGCCAGGGTGCTAGGATGCCAGAGGTCCATGAAGGATATATGGTGCAAGTCTCCGAAAGAGCCTTGCCTTCGAAGGTCGCCTTTGCACTCGTGGATGCAGATAGCTATCCACAAACCATCCTGCCACTGAAGCTGGTCTACAAAAGGCTTGGAGCCCACAGCGAAGTTTACGTGCACGGTTACCGGCAGCAGTCCTGCCCTGGGGTCCATGACGCAGTGAAGCATTTCTTCAAAGGCGGCAACAGGGGAGTCTACAGCTGGGGCCATGGCTCCCAAGGCGTCTCTTGGGCAGTAGCTGGCCCACGGCTTGCCTACAATACTTCTCACGTACATATGGCCAAGCTGGGCTGGAAGTGGAGCCCCGTGTAGGCGAGTGCACGAAAGACGAGCCTTAAACCGGCAGCATACAGGCATGAATCAAGTCGTTTCTTTTTCATGCTTCTTCCGCCTCTTCCCTACTTGGGCTCAGGATGGCCCGAACGGTGCGGGCTCCAGACCTGAAGCAGGGAGCTCAATGCCTGTGCTGTCATCTCGTGTCGGGGAGAGACATCCGGCAACTCACTGAGCTTTGTCTCCAGGGCAGTCCTCAATGTCCAGTTCCAGTCGAAGAAGCGCCTCGAGGGCAGAGTGAGGCAGGAGCGGGCGGGAAAGCGGAGTTATCACCCTCTCGCTGCAGATGCGTCGGTGCCTCTTCAGGTGGTTCGACAAGGACAAGGGCTTCGGCAAGATCCTGTCGGCAGCTGATGCTACAACACAGATGTCGGATCTTTGAAAGAGGGGTTTTGCGATGACGGTGTTCCAAGTCATCTTTCAACGGACGAGGCCCTTGGACTCGCGACCTGGCCAGGATGCACCCGAGGACTCCGGGGGCCGTCGGCCCTCGGATCCCTAGGCCATAGGAAGCTTTGAAATATCTGGCTCCATCCTTCCGAGCAATGAGGAGATCTTCGTACACAAGAAGCAAATCGAAGATGGTCCACGACCAAGGGCTTTCGCTCTTCTTATGTCAGTCCACAGCTCGTGTGGCAAGTCTTCGCTGCCAAAGACACTGACTCAGCATCACGAAACAAAATGGAAAGTTACCATCAAGGCACTGAGGGCGACAACTATGCCGCGCTGGCACCGGGAGCCAGGAGCTCACGAGTGATCTGAACTGTTCTGCGCATGAGCTCTGAGCCCTGCTGGCATGTGTACATATGAACTTGTCCGTCATTCACAGGAGGGACCACATGGATTTGCTTAGGCACTGGTGTCGTTTGAGATGATCACACAGGATGATGGGAGCTTTGGCTGCACCCCCTGCTGCTGACATTGTCATTGTGTTTCTGCAGCTGCCACCGCTGGCGAGAGCCAATGCCAATATTTATCGATTTAGCCTCGATTTACCGAGTCTAAGTGCCTGGATTCCGTGAACGAATTCATCTGTCACACTTCATTGCGACATGACAGAGTGCGGACAGCGAGCTACGTACAGGCGGAGGTTCTGCGAGGCAGCACCGGGGCACAGCAGAATGAGTGCAGGACAGCACAAAAAAAAGAGGCGGAAGTCGGAAGACGGACCAGGGCGGCGAGGAAGATCGGGTAGGCCAAGCGACCCGGCAACCCGGCGAAGACGTAAACACATGCGGTCCAAGAGGCAGAGGACTGAGGAATGGGAAACCTGAAAAGCAAACAAGCGAGGAGCGCAGGAGGACCCCAAATCAAAGGCAAAAGTTCAGCGAGTGATTTGCAGCATCAGCCAAGGAAGCCGTGTGCCGGCAAAGTGCGTGTTCAGGGCTTCGCCAAGATCGTGCAGAATGGCTTGACCATCGCGGCAGGAGCCAGTATGAGTTCTGAGTGAAGAGGCTTCTGAGACCTGCCTGACGAGGAGCTGCGCTCTCAGCCAGGGAAGCCAAGCTGCGCCAGCTCCTCCTTCAGGGTCTGAAAGCAGGCGCTCCTGTGCGACCAAAGACGGTGTCGAAAATCTTCGGATGGGACCAGGCGTTTTCCAAGAGAAAGGCCACAAGAAGGCGGAACTGCAAAAGATGTCTTTTGACTTGCCACCGTTCTGGCTGTGATCTGCGACCTACTGGGTACTTCGTCTAGACTCAGACCATCTGGGACCTCGCTGGGAGGCATTGATGGAAGATGGCTTCCTCGAAGGCACCGCTCCGAAACCCCCAGCTGCTCCAGTCAGAAGTCCCTCGTCGCACACGTTCACCACTCACACTGGAAGGAACCAGCCGCGAGGTTGGCATGCCTGATGCTTGGAGAACCACGAGAACTTGTGCTTGCTTTCGGTGCCGTTGTGCCTTTGCTCTGGATGATTCTATAATTTAGCTTAGAATGGCTTACAACTCTAGATTAGAGTCTTAGAGCTTGTATCTGTTTGGCTTGAGAGATGTCGGCCCAAGCGTGTTTGTCAAGTGCCCTGAAGCTTTCATAGCCGAAGTCATCCTTGGGGAGCATCGCACTCCCGTCCAAGTGGCGGGCCCGAAGTTCGGGGGCTATGCCAATGCCGGGTAAGTTGCTGCCGCCTATGGGAGGCCGATTTCCGAGCACGACAAGAAGTTGCTGCCATGGCAATTGCGCAATGGGGGCCTCGCATAGTGAGGACGGAGCGTTTGGAGGCCATGCGGGGAAAGTTCAGGTCAAGCAAGGCTTCCTGTCTCGCAGCTTGTTATCTGACTGCATGAGGTGATCGGCTGGAACATCACATTGTGCAAGCTTTCACGGCGCACGCAGTGGCAGACGGCCCTTTCACTGCTGCCTGCGATGCAGAGCTGCCGCGTGCACCCAGACGGTGTGACCCAGAATGTTTTAATTCGCCCCTTGGTCCACATACGTACTTTGTGCGCTCATAGACATGCCTGCGGCTAAGTGGCGTATGTTTGTTTTTCTTCGAGGGCATCGGATTGGGGGCTAGGGTCTGATCTCGGTGAGGCTCTTGCTCGGCTGCCGCCAAGTGGCAAGCTGCGATGTGGTTTCTCCATTCCTGGCCAGAGCCTGCTGATCTGATTGGCCACAGTTCAGCAATCACTGCCTGTACTCGAGGGCGACAGCTGAGTCGTGCCTTGGATGTGCTGGCTGCGTCGCAGAAGCAGAAACTGGGTTCGGACGAAGTGTTGGCCGGCACTCTCATCACCACCTCCGAAAAGATGGCAAGATGGGACCTCGCCCTACATATGCTTGGCCTCTATGGTGCTGCGACGAACATCATCTGTTACAACGCAGCTCTTGCTGCGTGTGAGAAGGCAGCCCAATGGATGAGGAGCCTTGAGATCCTGCAGCTTGTCCTCGGCAGCGGCCTGCAACCAGATGCGACCACCTTCACAGCACTGGCAGCATCCTGCCGGCAGCGGTCCAAGTGGCAGATAGGTGCCTTTTTGCTTTCCGAGGAGGCAAGAAGCCGTTTTCACATCATGGCGACTGGTCGTTTTTTGTCGCTCCAGGCCGACATGGCCTGCGAGGCACAGGCATCCCTGGCCCCCTCTGCTCTCATGTGGCTGCCCTGTGTCGTACCATGAGACAGTGGGATCCTTGGAGGCTTCTTGGGCCACTGCAGGATTCAGACGAGGGAACTCCGAAACGATTGGCGGACTTAACAGGACAGCTGCGAGCACTTGGCGTGTCCATGCGAGAGCAGGACCGGCGATTCAGTCAGGAGGTGCTTCGTCCTGTGTTGGCAGAGATGCGAGTGCTGTCCGGCGACTCTGGCAAAGTACCTCAGCCAGGTCTAGGCGTCGCAGGTTCCCCAAACATCCTGAGCGTTGTCGTTGGTGGTTTGGGTGCAATGGAACGTGATGCCCTGATGCAACTGGGGATGCCATCCGGAAGGCTAGGAGTGCTGGGTAGAGAATTTGCCGAGAGTTGCAGAGCGAAAGTCGACGACTTCATGCCGCAGTATGAACCAGACAATTTCTGTGCAAACTGCATCTAACCTGCGCTTGCTAGTGGCTGCAAGCAAGCTAAGGCTCGGCAGCACTGTCAAGTCTGCGGTCCGTTCCTCACAATGCCTAAGAATTCAGTCTAGGTCCTGCAGAGGTCAGCCATTCAACTTGATATCGTCATGTCGCATGCCACCAAATCTGTGGTGTATAACTTTCCAGATCAACACGATCTGCTCTGCTGCAAGAAGGCAATGGCTGTTTACGCCGTGATGGACGGTCATGCAGGAATTTCCTGCAGCAACTTCGCCAGGGACCCACAGACGTTACGTGTTGATCATCGGGTCGGTGTGGCTGCACCCTGCCATCCATCCTGCAAGACCCTCCCTCAAGCATCTTCATGCAGAGCCCTCAACAGATCTTACTAAAAGTCAAAAGTGAGTTGCGTATATCAGGGAGATGTCGATATGTCTGTATGCTGTATGTCTCGCACGAGGATGCGATTTGACAGAGGGCAACTGCACACCGGGGTGAGCTCTGCATGCTAGGATTCTTGTATAGACATAACATAACTGTAACATAACCAGGTCATAACCATCATCAAAATGGCAAGGTCGCACTGAATCTGGAGCGAAACATCCTCGACTCCTTGAGGGATCAGCCATGGCCTGAGCTCGTGCTGTCAGCCGAGTTAAACCATACTCGTGCCATCTCGTGTCCTCGGGGAAAACATTTGGGACCTGGGTTCGGGGCGCACGGGATGTGTGGCCAGTCTTGTCCACAACTGAGGCGCAAGCGAGCCCGATCCTGAGCACCACGCAGTGCGCTGGGGAGTTTGCCAGCTCCAGAACCGAGGACGCGAACGCTGAACAGGTCTTGAAGTCGGCCTTGCTGGCAGGCTTCAAGGTCACCGAGCATACCTTCCACCAGTGCCCCCAGCAAGGGTGGGGCTCGGTTTCTTGGAGTGGCCTTGCTCAGGTACGCCAACAAGCTGGAAGGCGGTGCAGGTCACTTGTAGGGCCGGGCCTGGCCGAGAGCTGCGGGCCGCTGCGCTCGGAGAAGCCTAGAGGTCGGACCTGGGCAACTTCTGGCAGCACCTGCTGCGCAGCTTGCTTGGCTGGGCCCGACGAGGCTCGGGGTGTCTGGCAATGATATCTTGTGACGACACAGCGTTTGCCTGGGCACAAGGAGGGACGTCTCAGACTATTGATTGCAAATGCCTGGTGCCTAAGCTCGTTGCAGCGAACCTGTCCGTGTGCAGTTAGGAAGCCCGAGGTGGGCGACAGCAGGGCCATTCTCGGCAAGAAGGAGATGGCAAGTGAACGGATTAAGCTCGGCACTTCGCATGTACCTAACTTGCCGAAATTGGTACCTCTCGAATTCTGCAGGACGGTTTTGCGGTGAGGCTCTCGGTAGACCACCGCCCAGACAACACAGCAGAGAAGAGGCGGAGCAACACTTTCCGTCACAATGCTTCGGATTCTTGCTGCTTCCTGCCGCCGCGGCCAGTGCAAACATTACAATCATTACAAATGTGTTCACCGGCGGCAATTGCCACCTTCACGGCATCTTACGATTATTGGTCTTGCTCTTGTTATTGACGATCACTATTATCCTCATCCCCATTTCGCTATCGAAGCTAGTAGTCGCTTGGCAAGCAGGAGAGTGGAACAACAAGGCGGTACCGTGGCCCCCTTCGGCGGTGCTCACCGTGCAGTGACCTCGATCTTCTTCCGGCTTGGGCAATGCTTTCTTGCTTCTGATGATAGAGAGGCCAAAGCAGTACATGCAGTAACCACGGCCGTTTGCACTTTGCTACATTCCCAAAGCTCAGCGGACAGAGCCATGTCCCAACATGCTGAGTCCGGAGATGAAGCTGCTCTGCCAGCTGGCACTATGTCATTTTCTCTTGTTGTCGCCGTTCAGGCTCATCATTCTGTATATATGCATTGATGTCAGGCCCTTTCCTTCCTTCATGTCGCCGATGATGTTCTCGTGGATTCTGGTGCAAGGTCTACTGACCCTGCCCGGAGCAGTGCGGGATGGTTCGGAGCTTCATTCGGTACTTCGTGAAGACGAGATGTCCCGCAGTGTACCCGGGGAGGTAAACCAAGCAGTCAGGCGTGCACAGGGCATGGCCGCCAGCCGCCTGAAGCAGCTGAAAGATTCGATTGCCGAGCATTCGCAAAAGGAGGATGACGCAAAGAAGGCGGCGGAGAAGCGCAAGCAGCATATCGAAGAACTTGAGAATCGACAAGCTCATCTCAAAGCCCAGGCAGCCGGACTATGCTCAGAGATTTAGTCAGTTCATGCACCCTGTCGTGCTCGTCTTGTTTTACCGAGTTTCATGTGCGAAACTGCATGCCTGGTCTTTACGGGTTTGTCGCAGTGTTTCAACTCCTAGAATGCACTTATCTCCAGAGTTCTTCGGAAGCTGCATGGGAAACCCTGAAGCTGTTTCCAGAAAAGAGTGTTTCCGTCTATGTAATTCCCCCTCGCACCAGAAAATCAGTGAGTCATGACATCGAATCGAATTCATGAAGCCGAACTCGAGCTAGCCCTGGAACACGGCGGCATCGTGCTGTTGCATCCGAAGACCCCTTCAGAATGTGAGAGTGGAGTCGAGCCTGAACTCGCACTCCACTTCAAGGTCGCGGAAAATGTAGGTGCGTTCCTATCACACCATGATATTCTGACAGAGCTCTTTGTGAATAATGTCATGAACATACGCACTACCATTATAAGAGCTTGGCGGCCAGGGGCGGTGCCGCAGTCAACTATTTAATTTGGCGCCTATTTGGTGTTGTTTCGGTGTTTGAGTTTGGCGTTGTTTTTTCGAGTGCTGCTATTCTTCGTGTCATTGAGATTCGTGTTTGTTTGGAGGGGTGGGTGTTTTTTTTTTCTCGTTCTTGGATTTGTTGGATTCGCATTTGTGTAGAGCTGTTGGCGGGAGGGAGGAGCTCCAAACCAAGCTACAAATAGACTTCTAAATGCAGGGTACGGGATCCGGGCGAGATGCACAGAAACGCAAAAACAAACGCTCCAAAACTACAGCAACCAAATCCCAACACCAAAAAGACACTAACTCAGGATTCCAAAAAACAAACAGATACAACCACACACACCCACCCATCCACCCATCCACCCACCC